TTAAAATTTTATGTGTATGCATGTATTGCTTGCATGTAGGTAAGTGCACCTGTGTCGTGCAATGTCTGAGGAGGTCAGAAGAGGCTGTCAGATCCCCTGGGACTGGAGTTGACAGTTGTTAGCTGCTGTGTGGGTGCCAGGATTCAAACCTGGGTCTTCTGCAAGAACAACCGGTGTTCTTAAACAATGGACCATTTCACCAACCCCAGCAGCAAGTTTCTTTACCTGCTGAACCATCTTGGTGGCCCCAATGATATGTTCTGTATGCTAAAAGCATAGCTTAAAAGCACAATATTTTGCATTTTATACAACTTAAAAAAATAGTATTTCAAACTGTACAGTTACAGAAATACACAGTTATAAAAAATGCCAGGCGAGGTGGTTGCACGCCTTTAATCCCAGCACTCGGGAGGCAGAGGCAGGTGGATCTCTGTGAGTTCAAGGCCAGCCTGGTCTACAGAGTGAGTTTCTGCACACACTTCCACTGGCATCCGCAGTACCATCAGCTTTCTATGCCTGGTCTATTTGTCACCTCAATTGTCCCTAGGTTTATTGCTGCCTTTACCAGCATCAGTTTTTCCCTTTGGCACCTTTATAACTTTTTTATATGTAGATTTATTTTTGTATATGTGTGAGTGCTAGCCTGTATGCATGTGCACCATGAATGCCTATAGAAGCCAGAAGAGGGCATTGGATCCCCTGAACTGCAGTTCTGGAGGTTGTGAGCTGCCATTTGGGTGCTGGGAACCAAACCTGGGTCCTTCAAGGCAGCCAGTGCTTAAGGTTGAACCGTCTCTCCAGACCCCCTTTGGGTGTCTTCCTCTTCTGCAGGGGCCTTTTTAAAAATGTAATATTTTTATTTTTTACAATGTTTTAAAAATATTTTTATTTTATATGTATGAGTGTATTGCCTGCATGTATGTGAGCGCACCCATGTCATGCAATGCCACAGAGGTCAGAAGAGGGCTTCGGATTCCCCTGGAACTGGAGTTAAGGACGGTTCGAAGCCGCCATGTGGGTGCTGGGAATTGAACCTGGGTCCTCTGCAAGAGAGCCATCTCTCCAGCCCTTATTTATTTTTTTTTTCAGGCAGGGCCTCCCTGTAGCCCCAGCTGGCCTGGAACTTGCTATATGAGATCCACCTGCCTCTGCCTCCTGAGTGCTGGGATTATAGAAGTGTGTGCCACCATGCCTGACTTATTTTTATTTTTTATGTGTATGAGTGTATTGCCAGCATGTAGGTAGGTGTACCCGTGTCATGCAATGCCCATAGAGGTCAGAAGTGGGTTTCTGATTCCCCTGGAACTGGAGTTATAGATGGTTGTTAGCCACCATATGGGTGTTAGGGCTCAAACCCACGTCCTCTGTAAGAGCAGCCGGTGCTCTTAACCACTGAGCCATTGCTCCAGCCCCTGCAGGGGCCATTTCAAAGAGACTTGGGCTCTAGCTTTGGAGGAGCAAGTTTAGCAGACAATCTGTGGCTCTTTTCTGTGGCTTATCCTTGGCTTTATTTCTTTTAGCATCTCCTTCAGCCTTTATTTTGGGTATGTGGGGACAGTGACAATATGCACTGAACTTGGGGGTACAGTAGCATGTGGCTTTTCTAGGGGTTCATTCTGGATATATATTATATGTAATATGTTTTAACTGGGTTTCCTGTAGCCCGGATTGATATTGAACTTTTTTTAAAAATTATTTTTATGTGTATGAGTATATTGCCTGCATATATGTAAGTATACCCATCATGCAGTGCCCACAGAGAATCCTCTGGAACTGGAGTTATGGACAGTTGTTAGCTGCCATGTGAGTGCTGGGATTCAAACCCGGGTCTTCTGTAAAAACAGCCAGTGTTCTTAACTGCTGAGCCATTTCTCCAGCCCAACATTGAACTTCTTAAGTAGCTGTGGCTGGCCTTGAGCTTTTGATCTTCTTGTGCCCAGGCCCTAAGTGTTAGGAACACAGATATATACTCTTATATCCAGCTGACAGCACATTTCAACAAACTGTATTACATAGATACCAAATCCTACTGGACAGAAGAAGTGATAAAAAGATTTCTAGATGAGGCTCAAGTCAGTGGTTTTGATTGAACATCCATAATGGCCTTGTCATAGGGGTGAACACAGGTCCCAAATAAATAAAAGGACATAGTCCTTGCCAGTGAGGAATACAGTTTAGTTATGTACCAGTTTATAAACGAAGAAAGAATGCTTCACAAGATAGTGAGTGCAACTCAAAAGGATCCACCTGCCTCTGCCTCAAGTGCTGGGATCTAGGCGTGTACCACCACACCTGGGGTTTTTTTTTGTTTTTTTTTTTGTCTTTTTGAGACTGGGTCTCCCTGCTCATACCCGGCTAGCTTCTTCTTTTTAAAGTCAGTCCTTTTGCTTCAGCCTCCACAGAGCATGTATCCCCATGCTCAGTTTAAGGTCATCTTTGAAGCAAAAGTTCAGCAAGACAGCTCAGCAGAGAAGCAAGGCAAAAGACAGTGTTCACGTGTTCTGGAACAAAGGCTAGTGGCTGCTTGTTACCTTTTCAGCCACTGCTGTGTTCATGTTGATTGATGCTAGTTTGGTTATGAAACGTAGCAAGAAAAATGTATGACATAATTTTGAATCTGGGCCAAAACCTAATAATAAACCTTTAACATAAAGTGTCATCTCATTGTTTGATCCCCAGAGTCTTGGAAAAGGTTTCATTGTGGAGGTAATGGTGGTAGAAGCAGGAGTGCAGCCTGATCTTAGTAGCTGGATGGGTGTCAACTGTGGTGTCTACCCCACCTCTCCCTGCCCTCACCTTTGGGATGCCTGGGTGGGTTGAGGCAGGAAGTACAGGGAGGATGGCTGGTGGGCGATGTGGCTGAGGTTGAGCCCTAAAGTTGAGCCGGGCCCTCTCCCTGGGCAATGAGCTCTGGGTCAAAGGCAGGGCTCATCTGGGAAACCTGCTGGGAGTGCCACGCCTGGACTCATTAGTGGATATCTGGGGATGTCTTTGAAGATGAAACATTCTGTAGCACTCATTATTTCTGGGGTTTTGGACAAACTAGTACTTTGGTCTCCAGGGGCTGTTGATCTGACCTCTCTGCACTAGTCTGGAATTTGCTAACAAAGAGGCTGAAGAAGTTTTTGAAAAAAGCAGCAAAACTCACCAGCCTTCTATGCTTTGGCTTGTACGCAGGATTCTTTGTCATCCACCTTTCACATTCTTGGGTTTTGTTGCATTCTGTTTGACCTGTTCTTTGCCTTTTGGGTTTGGGGGTGTGTGTCTCTGGTTTCCAGACTCTGTAGAGAGTGCCAGCAACTGGCATTTGGTGATTGCTGAATAAGCTGCCCGCTGACACATGCCTCTTGCAGGCACAGAGAACTGGCTGGTATGGGTGGTTTGAACCCCCATTTCATGATTGTTTCAAAGGTGCATTTCTAAGCTTAGTATGGTGGTGCATACTATCACTCAGGAATTCACATTCATCCTCAGCTACATAGTGAATATGAGGCTAATTTGGGCAACATAAGACCCTACCTCCCAAAACAAAACAAAAAATGATTATTTTTGCCTGGATGGGGAGTGGTCTTGCTATGTAATTGGCTTGAAATTTAGGATTCTTCTGCCTGAGCTTCCTGAATGCTGAGATTACATGCATGGGCTATTACATCTATTCCAAATGTGTATTACTGTGGCTGCTGTGTGACTGGGGAAGGGAGGGAAGAGGAGAGGGGATGAATGAATAAATATGATTCTTTTTTCTTTAAAGACAGGGTCTCCCTGTAACCTCAGCTGGCCTGGAACTTGATATGTAGACCAGGCTGGCCTCTATCTTACAGAGATCCCTCTGCCTCTGCTTTCCTGAGTGCTGAGATTAAAGATGTGCACTACCATGCCTGGCCTAATAAATGTGATTTTTGTCTGTTAGTAGCAATAGCTAGAATGGGCACATAGGTGTCTTATATCTTCACAGTGGTCTTTACTGCTTTCCTTCATCCAGCAAGTATTTGTTAAGTGTCTGCTATATACTGTGCAAAAGCATCCAGTTTGCTTGAGCTGGAGATAAGATTGGTAAAGACCTTGGGAGTTACATAGCTATTCCACTGCATTAAGCATTCTAGGTTTTTGGAGACACAAAATGGCAAGGACTTTGGGTTTTACTAAAAGGGAGCTTGAAGACAAAGATTTTGAACAGAGGAACCACACTGACCTGGTCTTTGCTTTAAAATCACTCTGACTGGTTTATGGAGAATAGGCTGAAGGGTTAGGGAAGATGTAGGACATGAGATGACCTCATCGCTGCAGGTGACCTCATGGAACAACTTGGAGCAGCTCTCCCAGGGTGGGCTACTGTGAGCCTGGCTGCAGAGAGAGGGTGGCCTCTTACCCTCCTCTCAGTATGCAGTTGTATGGAGAGGACACAACTAACAACAGTTCACAGAGTGTAAAAGATCAGATTCTTTTAGGAGTCATCATCCTCATTTACATTGGCATGAAAGGAAAATGGAACTGCAGAATTAGGAGGCGAGGAAGAAACAGTCTGTTTACTAGAGCAGAGCATAAACCATGGGCACCTGGCAAGCCTGAACCTTGTCAGGAGTGACAGCCACTTCTCATTCCACTCCCTCTTCTACCCTTTTCAGAAGTATCAGAGCAAGGTTGTGGGAGGGAGGGGTATAAATGAGTTTGCAGCGCCTTAGGGTATAGTATAGAATGTCAGAATTGAAGTGACTTTAGAAATAACCACGTTGAACCCCCTTGCTTTTTAGGTGCAGATCTGGAAAGATGAAACAGGTAACCTTCCTAGAGTCACTGAAGTAGATTATTGGCATAGCAAGGATACTAAGTGTTTCATTGTTTTACCTCTATGGGATGTGTCTGAGTGGGCCTTGGTATTCATAGTCCCTTCAGGCACTCAGCCAGTAGTGAATGAACTCCAGCTATGACTTTGGCAGATTCTATGAATGTGAAATGTTGACAAGCAAATGGTGGTAATGAGTTTGTGTTTCCTTGCCTAGGATCAGGTCATCTGTACTAGGGACCAGGCTAAAGCTAGACTGCCACTGCCCCGACTTGGACCCCGTTGACCTCAGAAAGCAGCTGCTGTAATCATGGGCAATATCTTTGGAAACCTTCTCAAGAGCCTGATTGGGAAGAAGGAGATGCGCATCCTAATGGTGGGTCTGGATGCTGCAGGAAAGACCACCATCCTGTACAAGCTGAAACTGGGAGAAATTGTCACTACCATCCCTACCATTGGTAAGGGCACAGTTTGTTTGTGGACTTTCATGCTGATGGCTGAGGCAAGGCAGGGGGGCCTATTTCTAGTTCTCCCACTTGGCTTGTTTTCCCCAGGCAAGTCCATACATTTTTGTGGGCTGCAGAGAAGAATGTCTGTTTAACTAACTTGCTAGCAGGTGCTGGAACTGCCATTTGCCCACCTACCCTGGCCCTCCCTGATGCGGGAACTTCCGAAGCCGGGCACTTAGCAGTTACCCTTAGGCATAAGAGTTGGTTTGTTCTCTGTGTTATTTGGAAAGCAGGTGAAGGGCTTTGATGTTCCTGCCAGAGGTCTGGAATTGCTTTGGTTTAAATCTTCAGTGGTGATCTTGGTTAAGACCTGCCTGCTGGAGGGAGAGCATTCATCACATGCACGGGGGCTGTGGATCATCATCATGAGCTTGTTCTGCATTTGGAGCTCCAGCATTCTAGCTCATTTCTCATTCTTCAGGCAGCCCCACATCTCAGGAAGATTCTAGTAGCCAAGGTACAGAAGTAGACTGGAGTCATTTCTTTCTGGAACAAGAGCCAGAGTCTGAGGGAACAAGGGAAGATTTGCTTACATTACTCAGGAGCTGTGAACCTCCTGTCAGACCTCATTGTCTTTGACTTCTTTCCCTAGATTATTCTTTTGGCCTTCAGGCTACCAGGTCCGGGATTGCCAGGTCCTAGGAACCCTTAAGCTTTCCATTGTTAGTGTCACAACTAAGGCTGAGAGGAAATGGGAGTAAATTCATTGGTGCAGTCATTGCAGGTCTGATGTTTGAGGCCAGTGGGCCATTGACTTTTTCCTTTCCCTAAAGGGTTTAATGTGGAGACAGTGGAGTATAAGAATATCAGCTTCACGGTATGGGACGTAGGTGGCCAGGACAAGATTCGGCCCCTCTGGAGACACTACTTCCAGAATACCCAAGGTATGGCAGATGAACTTCCCAGGATTGGCATTGGTTTGCTGGATATGAGCAGAGTGTGACTCTCTTCCTTAGTTCTGGGTAGCCAGCCCATGCCCTGCTGTAGCTACCTCTGGGAGTAGAGGAAAGGAAACACATATTTGGAGGGTTTGGTGAGGGAATTATCTTTCAAATGGGAGAGGGGACATCTGTCATTTCTGTGTGTCACATGCTCTACCTCTCCAGGCTTGATATTTGTGGTTGACAGCAATGATCGGGAGCGGGTAAATGAGGCCCGGGAAGAGCTGATGAGGATGCTGGCAGAGGATGAACTCCGGGATGCTGTGCTCCTTGTCTTTGCAAACAAACAGGTAAGGTTTCTCCCTTTCCCTGAACTTGGAATATGGCAACCTGGCTGTAGAAATAATGGAGCCTTGGGACTCATTATTTGGAAAGACCTGTGGCTACTGGCAACTTCAGAAGTACAAACATTTGGCTTCTTCATGCCCCTTTTTTATCTCCCTACCTAGCTTTATTTAGCAATTTAAAAAATGTATTATCTTTATTTTATGTGTATTGAGTGTATTGCCTGCTTGCACCATGTCATGCAGTACTTGCAGAGGTCAGAATAGGGTGTTGAATCTCTTGGAAGTGGAGTTACGGACAGTTCATTGCCATGTGGGTGCTGGGAACTGAATCCAGGTTCTCTGTAAGAGCAACTGGTGCTTTTAACCATTGAGCCATCCCCCCCCCCTTTTTTTTTTTTTTGAGATAGTTTCACTATGTATACCTGACTGACCTGGAACTTGCTATGTAGACCAGGCTGGCATTAAACTCACAGTGCCTGCCGCTGCCTCCTGAGTTTTCAACACCATTTTAGTCCTCAGAGGTTAGTGTGGTAGAAGTGTCACCTCGGATTTCCATCGTCTCTGTTGTGCATTTTAGTGGAACTGCCTTTGCTCTGCTGTCAGACTTGATTCTTTGGCCATTAGAATCACACTTTGTCTAAAATTCATGATGAATTTCCTGATCCACAATGGAATAGCTATCTAGAGAACTGGATCTGGAGTTCTAGGATTACTGAGTTCCCAGTTCATCTTGATCTCGGTGTGGATTTCCTAAAATGATGGGGGAGAAAGTGCCTGTACATGTGTCCTTGATAAATGGGTGCTATAGAACTCTCCTGAGGTAACTTTGTATGTGTCTCCCTTGTACTGCAGGACTTGCCGAATGCTATGAATGCTGCTGAAATCACGGACAAGCTGGGGCTGCATTCTCTGCGTCACCGCAATTGGTACATTCAGGCCACCTGTGCTACCAGTGGGGACGGGCTGTATGAAGGCCTGGACTGGCTGGCCAATCAGCTCAAAAACAAGAAGTGAGAGCCAGGCAGCCCTTTCTAATTACCCCACCCACTCCTGACACACCTGTTGTCTTCCTACTCCAATCCTTACCCTTCCTTCCTATTGAAAAGGTGGTCAAGGCCTTGGGTATCATGTCCGCATGCCCAGTAAGAGCCTTGCCTTCCCTCCTCTCCACCCTGTCCAATGATATGACTAGTCCCCACTTGCTGTCCTGATGATGAATCATTCCAATTTACTGGATTTAAAACAAAACAAGGCTGTTATGGTTTCATGGGGTGGTCCCCCCTCTCTCTAACCCTTCGGGCTTCAGGAGGAAGAGTGGGGATATCCTCTCCATTTGCTTTGTTTAGCGCTGGTTGCCGTGCTCTTGGCATCTGAATTCCTTCCCTGTCTCCCCAGTCCCCTCTCCTCCCTATCTTCCTTTCCTTCTACACTCTTTCCCTATTCTACATGGAAATTGCACGGGCCTCTGTGTGTGCGTGCATGTGTGCGCCTGTATATACATGTATAGAGAGATATATATGTGGGGGAAGGGGGGAGGGGGTAGAGTGCAGCTCAGGGCTTGCAGCCAGGACACTGCCCACTGGAGCCTGTCATCTGTCCCTCTGTGCTGATGAGATAAAAGGAAAAAGGTGGGAGGGTTTCAGTCAGGCTGGACTGCCCCAGTCTGGGACTCATTCCTCTTCCTGAAGGTAGCATTCCTGGACGTTAGGACAGGTGATGGACTCTGTGACCATCTTCCTTGTACCCTTTTCTCCACCTTTCTGAAGGCGTGGGATGGCATTGATCTCTCGATGACTGTTCCTAAGGCCATGCTGTTCTGCTCTGCCTTATTAGTAGGAAGAGGAGGATCCCACTCACTTTCTATCAGTTCAGAGTGTTCTGTTGACCCTCCCCTCCATCCTTAGATGTGCCCCTCAGGAGCTTGAAGGGAGGCAGAGGTAGTAAGACTGGTGCGTTCAGGACTTGTGTACAGAGGGTGCAGTGCAGTATGGGGAAGGCCTCAGATCTTCTGTCTTCATTGTTGTTAGCAGAAGGTGAGGCATGTTTCTGCTGTCCTGTGCCCTTCTCATCGTCTGATCTTGGGGGCTGGGTGGTTCCATCTGTTCTTTGTCAGAAACTTTCTCACCTTAGTAGTCCTGCTGGCTTGATCAGGACTGACTGGGTAGACTAATGAGAAGCCATGGAGTGGGAGTGATACAGCGGCGTCAGCATCAACCCTTTATTCTCCAGTTCTCTTACCTTTCTCATGCAGGACGAGCTGAAAGACGGTTTTCTGTTCCCAGGCCTTCAGAATCCTTGTTGTCCCCTCCTTTCCGTTCCAGTAGCTTTCCCCATTCCTCCTCACACTTCCCACGAATGATCTGAGGGGTGTTGGAGTGCAAGAAATAGAGCCCTAAGTGGTTGTTGGTGCTGGTGGATACAGTGGTCTTCAGGGTCCTCCCTCCTTTATCCTTTGGTTGTTCAGAAGCTGCTGCTACTGCATCTCAGTCTACCAGGGGCACTTATCCCTTAGGTCCTGGCCTGGGTCCTGACTGAAGGTTGCTGTGAAGCTGTGGCTGTTCTATGGGCTCCTGTGTGTGCTGGCTGCGCCCTGAGCTCCAAGACAGCTGTCATAACCTTTTTACTAAGGTTAGGATCCTGGGCCCTCCATAGTATGGCTGAGGGACTCCTTCCCAGAAGGACTGTTCTTAGCCTCATTCCGTGTGGCCAGCTGTCCTGCCACCTCTGTCTACAACAGGCAGATCAGTACCCCCGACTTACCCCAGCTGAACTGTGAGAGGTTTCAGGGGTGTCTCTCGGTGCCCGTTCCTTAGTGCTGTGGTACTTACTTACCCAAGATACTGTGGGTGTGTACAGGTGTCCCGCTTTCTAGGCTGTGTGTGGGTGTGGGTGGGGGGGGTGTATGTGGGGGCACTGGAGGTTCTGTTTCATTTAAAACTGGGCTCACTCCTCCACCCCACAGATGCTGCCCTCCATACTCTTGCATCACTTTTCTAGTCTCCCCACTTCATTGGCTCTCTGTCTGTGAACTTTTTCCTTTGCCTTCCTAATTCATTCGCTTCCGTTGCCTGTTTATCTTTTCCTTGTTTTTGCTTTCTGTTTGACTTCCTACCCTCTTTGTGATTGGCGAGGACTTTGCCTCTTCTTCTCTTTGCTCTTGTGACCCTACCTAATTTGATGCTAGTTCCAAACAGGCTTTGCGCATTTCAGGCATCTCTCCACCCCACACCCAGCCCCTGTTGTCTTTGCTCTGGGGCCTCCTGGGACCCATCTGAGGCTAAGAGTGTCCAAGCAGCCTTGGATGTCACCTTGGTGCCGCTCTAGATCCGTCCAGCAGGGGGCAGGGCAGCAAGTGATCTTAGTACCGTCCCTGGCTCTTGAGGGAGATGAGATGGGCTTTTTCACACTCCTTTACCTCACAGCTCTTTTGGCATTGTGTGTTTTGTTCCATTTCTGCCAACCCCTCTCCTGCTGTCCTCAAGTTGGTTTAATTTTATGATTTTTCTTGTTGCAACTTTCTTCTTCCTGGGGACCACCCCCCTTCTCCCACTTCCAAAGTTTGTTTGTGGTGTCATAGTGGTAACTGCAGTTCTGAACTGATTTTTTTCTTCTTTTTTCTTCCTCTGGAATGTAGATTGTATGTGTTTAATAATTCACCTTCTCTATCCTTGCTCAAAATGTGGGCTAACGCAATGACTGTGACCCTGGTTGGAAATTAAACTTGTTTTATGCAGTTTTGGAGCAGACCTTCATCCTTGGCGTACAGCACGCTGCGACAGTGGGGACTTCTGTTTCTCGCCCCTCTCCATACTGCTCCTTTCTCCACAGAGGGGGGACACAAGGACAAGCTTGAGTGCGTGGGGAGAGAGTGATGGAGGAACTTTGGCTTGTTAGGAATCAACACCCAGAAGGAAGACCAGATATATCCAATACCAAAGTGCGAGAGCTGTGGAACTTTGCTGTTCTACTTCTGAGGGGCTTTTAAAAAATATGTGTATGCATGTATGCCTGCATGTAGGTAAGTGCACCCGTGTCGTGCAATGCCCGAGGAGGTCAGAAGAGGCTGTCGGATCCCCTGAGACTGGAGTTATGGACAGTTGTTAGCTGCCATGTGGGTGCTGGGATTCAAATATGGGTCTTCTGCAAGAACAACCAGTGTTCTTAACCACTGAGCCATCTCTCCAGCCCCACTTCTGAGGGGCTTAACCCTGCATGTAGCTATATTTACCATCTGTTGGTAGACCTGAGAGACTGAAGTGAATGGAGGAACCTGAACTTGGAGGACCTCATACTTCCTTTATTTTTAGATCTTCCCAGCCCTGTAGAGTAGATGCTTCTAGTCTGAATATGCCCCCCTCCTCCATATTTTGGAAGTCCACTCACCCATCTAGGTCTGGATTTTTAGTGGTAGGCACAAAGAAAGGTAAACATCTGGATAGTGTAATGAACTTGGTCTTTTCTCACCTGATGGCCCTGCACAACTGTACTTGTGGTGTGTGGTTCTCTATTGTCAGAGGCTGACCCTCATTCAGAACTGCACCAAGATCTTGAGGAATAGATCTTTCCTGTAAAGACTGTTTCCTGATCCCCTTCCACTGCTCTGTTCCTCTTCTGCTATTGTCCAACTCCACACAAAGAAAAAGGGTGGTGCCACCCTTAGGCCCATCAGGCCTCCTTACTCTCAGTGCTCTCTTAAGCTTGGAGCATAGAGATCTCAACTTGCAGTGATGGGAAAAGGGCAGGGTTTAAGCTTGTGAGTTTGAGAGCCCACATACCATGTGAGGTATATACTTGGTGTTTGTTACCTCTCCTGCTCTCCTTACCAGTTTTCCTTTCAGTCCTTCTATTTAATGAGCCAAGACCAGGGCTTCTTGCTCATGTTTGACTTTCAAACTACTCCAACTAGACATCCCAACCCTATTACCAACCCTATTTCTTCAAGAATTATCTACTTACCTGAAAAATCAGATGACAGTGTTCTTCCTTCAAGGCTTTTCCAAGCTTCTGCAGTGACAAGTTCCTTGTGACAAGATAGGAACACCTTCCCCAAGTGCTTTATTTGTAATTAAGTAGATAACCTCCTTTTTTTTTTCCTTCTTTGAGACAGGATCTCACTGTGTGGCCCAAGCTGATCTCAGACTTGTAGCAGTCCTCCTGCCTTTGCCTCTTGAGTGCTAGGATTACAGGTGCGTGCTTCTATACCTGGCATCAGAGCTTTAAGTTTTCATAATACAATAATAGAAGCTGGGCATGGTGGTACATGCCTATAATGCTGACACTCAGGAAACGCAGGCAGGAGTATCTCTGCAGGTTTGAGTCCAGCCTGGTCTATGTAGCAAGACTCTCTTTCACCCTGCCTCCCTCAAAAGTCAGTAAAGGACACTTTAACTGAATGACAGGCCAGCAGAGGAGTCTTGACACCTAAACAACTTGGAGAAGAGCGTGGCCTGTTCTTTTCTGATTTAGTACTTGGATTAGAAGGGAGGTAGAGGGAGGTAGGGCCTCCCTCCCTTGTGGCAATTGCCTAAACCTACCAGCTTTGAAGAGAGATGGGATGAGACATCTAAACCTAAAAGGTCAATGTACCCCAAGCCTTAGGGCAAACAGCCTCCCCATGACTTGTTTGCCATAATTTTATGAAGGATCTGTATCCAGGGTACACCAGAATAATCTGGGCAAGGTGACTTTTCCAAATGAACCTGGGGCAAGTCAGTGGGCTTAGATAGGCTCAGGTGGGGTTGAAGGCAAAGATGCCCACTTCATGTGACAGAGTGAGATGTATGAGTTTCTCATCTTTGAGTGTATGAAGGCCCTGGGACTCATTGCACTCATCACTAGCAGTTCAAGTCCCTAGATTGGGTTAGAACAGAAAGTGGCAACTATTCACAGGTGTTGAAAATGGGCTAAACCTCTATACTCAGGGAGGAGCTGGGGATCCATTTCCAGATGGTGTGGAATCTTAGGAGTAACTGAAGAGGAGGCCCCTTCTTTCCTGCTGGTTAGAATAGGGAGTGGTATCCCTGGGCTGGCTCTCATAACACTAAGCAGGTCTCTGATTCTCTCTCCAACCCAGTGGCTGGAGAGGTGGAGTAGCATTCTGGTTACTGGGGAATGACAGAATCCAGATGCTTTCCTTCCTCTGCAGGGTTTTCTAATGGGTTTCCTGGCCCTGGTTGCTGGTAAGGGTACAGAATGACCTGAGTTCCTGAGAAAGATGAGAGAGTTGGGGCTGAAGAAATAGAAAGCTTGAATATGGTAAAGGGAGCAAGCGCTGAAGGGAGTGAGGGCCTAGAAGTAAGGGCATTGGATCAGGACATTTTACTGTCAAAGCCTGAAGGTAAGTGTCTGCTTGTATGTTGTCACTTTGGCCACCAGCTGTAGGAAGAGCATCTGGCCCTAGTTAGGGCCAGTGTAGCATCTAAGTTGGATGTGGATATGAAGAGGACACAGCAAAACTCTGGCTGTTCCTGCATGGAGCTGCAGTTCTCTCTACACACCATTCTTTCCACTAATTCTTCTTCATAAGCCAGCTCTTGTTGAGAGCTGACAGGCAGGCAGGCCAGGCAAGGGTTTGGGAATGAGCCTTTTCACCTGACATTCCCCTGCAGTCCTCATCCCTCATCCTTCTATCCTAAATACTGTTGAGAGAACTGAGATTGTATCTTAGTGGTAGAGTACTTGCCCAGCACATGGGAACGGGAGGCCCTGGGTTTGATCTCCAGCAACACACACACACACACACGCCAACATTGTTGAAGGTCATCCTATGACCCAGTTGAGTATGGGAACTTTGAAGATACAGGGTTTACCTTGGGGTTTTGAACCTTCATACTCTGATTTCTGAATATATCAAAAAAGCACACACTTTGCTACAGGTTATAGATAGGAGTAGGGGACTGTTTCGTATTTTACCAGATCTTTCATGGATAGAGTGGTATGTTCTTGAAGCTGTAGGGTTTGAGAGTAACTGCCTCATTCTTGGATGACTGAGTACATAAGCATAACAGAAGGGGCCGGAGCTAAATAACACAGTTGTAGAACGTGTGATTAGTGTGCTCAGGGCTCTAGATTCCATCATCACTACCAGAAGGTAAAACTAAAAACCAAGAAAGTGAGGTCTTAGGCCTTAGTTCAGCCCCCAGCAGCAAAGAGGGTGGTGTGAATCATTGCCCTGCTTTCTGTGTTGATGCCTGTTGGCATACAGACTTGAATAGGTGAACTGAAGGAATGACTTTTGGCTAACTGAAATCAGACATTGTGAGGGTGGAGGTTTTTCTAGAAGTGGTTCTCTATTTTTACCTCTAGGCTGGGTTGAACTAGCTTTCCTGTCTTTCTCAGAAACACAGGTCAAGTTCCTCCTGACTTTAATCCAGTGGAGATGTTCCTCCCTGGGTTGTTGGGTGTGCTGTCCTCTGGGGGTTGTTGTCCAAAATAGTTTTACCCTTTTCTTTACTCTCCTAGTCTGCCCGCTTCTCTCCAGGTTCCTAAAGAGAGTCTCAGAAATGCCATCCCTTTGCCTGTGTAATACCATTTCAGCTGCCACTTTAGTGCAGCCTGAGGGGGCACCTCTGCTTGGAGACTTTGGAGGTCTTCTCACTCTGTTAGTCGGAACTCAAGGTTCTCTACAACCAGCCTTTATTTTCCCCTCCAGTTGCCTCTCTCCAAGCTGGCTCATGTATTTTCCCCAGACACCTGGCCCCTGCCTTTAACATCCTTTTCTCACTTGTTTGAAAATCCCACTTTAGCTGGGCATGGTGGCGCACGCCTTTAATCCCAGCACTCGGGAGGCAGAGGCAGGCGGATCTCTGTGAGTTCAAGGCCAGCCTGGTCTACATAGTGAGTTCCAGGACAGCTGGGGCTACAGGGAGACCCTGTCTCAAAAAGACCAAAAAAATAAATAAAATTCCACTTTAAGGGGCTGGGGATGTAGCTTAGTTGGTGCTTGCCTAACGTGCACCAAGGTTCAGGGCTCTATACCCAGCACTCCATAAAACCAGATGCTATAATCCTTATACTTGTAGGTGAAAGCAGGAGAATCTGAAATTCAGGGTTATCCTTGACTATATACCCAGTTTGATGCCAGCCAGGGGTCATGAGACATTGTCTCAAAAACAAAAAGTATCCCACTTCAGAGTCAGTGGTTAGGAGTATTGGCTGCTCTTGCAGAGGACCCAGGTTTGATTCCTAGCACCCACATGGCAGCTAATAACCATAACTCCAGTTTCAGGGGATCCAACACCCTCTTCTGACCTCTGTGGGCATTGCACAACTCGGGTGTGCTTACATACATGCTGGCAATACACTCACACATAAAAATATATTTTTTTTAAATTCCACTTTAAAGCCAGATGTGGTGGTGCCACACCTTAAATCCCAACACTTGGGAGGCAGAGACAGGCGAATCTCTGTGAGATTGAGGCCAGCCTGGTCTACATAGTTTTAGGTCAGCTGGAGTTATAGGGAGACACTGTCTCAAAAGACCAAAATGAAAAATCCCACTTTAAGATGTAGTTCGTTTGGCCTCTTCCAAACCTGACTTGCCTAACCACAGGTCGCCTTTTTTTCTACCCAGGCTCCTCTAACTCTGGTAGCACACTCATTCAACTCTCACACATCCCTTGTATTGATATGTATTATGTTCATTCATTTAGTGTTTTAATTAAAATTTCTTTTTAACCATTTTGTATTGTATGCAGAACATTATGCCACACCAATTCCCTTCACTCTTCATTCCCATTCTCAAACAGCTGTTTGGGGTATATCCTTTGGGTTCTTTTTTCTTTTACATTTATTTTTAAAATTTTTTTTTGGACAGGGTATCACTGTGTAGCTCTGGCTGGCCTGGAGCTTGATATGTAGACCAGGCTAACCTCAGTCTCACAGAGATTTTCTTGCCTCTGTCTTCCAAGTGCTGGGACTAAAGGTATGCACCACCATGGCCAGCTATTTTATTTTTTAAGGGACAGGGAGGGTCTCATGTATCCCTGCCTGGCCTCAAACTCACTATGTAGCTGAGGATGAGTTGGATTTATGCCTCCACCTCCCAAATGCTGGGATTACAGGTGTACACCACCAAGCAGTTTATGCAAAACTGGGATTGAAGCCAGGGTTTCACGCATGCTAAGGCAAGCACTCTACCATTTGAGACATCAGAAGACCCCAGCCCCTTTTCTAAAAATGTATGTTCTTTTCTAAATATATATACTTAAACGTGCTGGGTCTGGTGGTGCCTTTAATCCCAGCACTTGAGAAGCAGGGGCAAATGGATCTCTCTGAGTTCCAGGCCAGTCAGGGCTACACAGTGAGACCCTGTCTCAAATGAACAGACAAAGCAACAAAAATACAGTGCTCTTGCAGAGGACCTGAGTTTGGTTTACAGGACCAAGCTTTAGGGGATCTGACACTTTCTGGCCTATACACAACACACATGCATAATTAAAATTTTTTTTTTATAAATAAAACATTTGACTAGGTGGCAGTGCATGCCTGTAACCCCAGCACTTGGGAGGTAGAGGAAGGAGGCTCAAGAGTTCAAAGCTGGGCCAGTGAGATGGCTTAGCGTTCGATAAAGGCACCTGCCGCCAAGTAGGACCACTTGAATTCTATATGGACCCTGCATGGTGAAAAGAGCTGACTCTTCTAAGTTGTCTTCAGGCTGCCACACATATAGGCCCTTACATATACAGTAAATAATAGAAGAAGAATAAAAAAATTAAATTTCGAGACTTTAGTTCACAGGCCTTTAGTTCTAGCACTCAGGAAGCAGAGGCAGGCAGATCTCTTCTTGAGTTTGAGGTTGGCCTGGTGTACCTAGTGAATTCAGATCAGTCAGGGCTATCGTGTGGGATCCTGTCTCAAAAAGAAGTTCAAGGCCAGTCTTTGCTACATATCAAGATTAAGGCCAGCTGGGACTCTACAAGAGATCATAGAGCAATATCCCCTAGTGTATGTATACCTTCAGTTTAGAAACAGGAAGTTGGGGCTGGAAAGATGGATCATTGTTAAAGAGCACTGGCTGCTCTGTGCAGAAGACAGTTCCCAGCACCACATAGCAGCTAACTGTAACTCCAATTCCAGAATATGCGACTCAGTCTTTGTCCTCCAAGGGCATTCATTGCACACATGTAATGCACCTACATACATGCAGGCAAAACACTCATACACATAAGTAAATACTGGAAGTCACTGTTAGCTCAGAATCAGGACTTGAAAGAGGAGATAATTGAACAGAATAAAGAGAATTTTACAGGTGAAGGGAAGAGGATGAGCTAGGTTGTAGGGATAAGAACACTTGGTAGGTTCATCTGAGGCCAGATAATAGTCCAGAAGCAGGAAGATGTGGTTCCTTTAATATTAAGAAGCATTTATATATCAGACATGAGCAATGAGGATACAGAAATGAGAAACATGAAACTGCATTTCTAAAAGTTTTTCAGAGCCAGGAGTGGTGGTGCATGCATACCTATAATCCTAGCACTTAGGAGGCTGAGGCACAAGGATCCCAAGTTCCAAACCATCTTAGACTACATAGAGAGTTCAAGGCCAGCATGGACTACTTGAAAAATCTTGTCTTAAAAAGAAAGGCTTTCAGGGGCTAGAGAGATGGCTGAGTGGCTAAGAGCACTGGCTACTCTTGCAGAGGAGCTGGGTTTGATTCCCAGCACCGCATGGCAGCTAACAACCATCTGTGACTACAATTGCAGGGGATCTGACGCACTCTTGACCTCTGCAGGCATTGTACAACATGGGTGCACCTACCTACATGCAGGCAATACACTCATACACAAAAAATTAAAAAAAAATATGGGGGCTGGAGAGATGGCTCAGTGGTTAAGAACACTGGTTCTTGCAGAAGACCCAGGTTCAAATCCCAGCACCCACATGGCAGCTAATAACTGTCAGTAACTCCAGTTCCAGGGGATCCTGTTGGATCTCTTCTGACCTCAGTGGGCATTGCATGACATAGGTGCACTTACCTACATGCAGGCAATACATGCATACATATAAAACTTTTTTTATTAAAAGTTAGAAAAATATATAAAAAAGGGGGCCAGGGATGCTGATACACACCTAATCCCAGCACTTGGGAGGCAGAGGCAAGTGGATCTCTCTCAATTTGAGGCCAGCCTGGTCTACATAGCGAGTTCCAGGCCAGCTGGGGCTACAGGGAGGCCCTGTCTCAAAAACACAAAAAGGAAAAAAAAGACTTTCAGTATAATAGGATAAATGACCAATTTTGGAAAGGAGATTAGTGCTTGATGACAAAAGCTTTTAGCTGGATGTCAAGGAGTCAGTCTTAGTTACTGGGCAATATGGAGCTATGACAAGCTTTTAGTGACATAACAGGTGACATGAATTTAGATAGCAAGATACAGAAACGGTGTCAAGAGAAAGCCTGGGAATGAGGCATATGCTTGGTTTTGTTTTTGTTTTATTTGGAGACAGGGTACCCCTGTAGTCCCTGGAACTTGCTATGTAGATCTGGCTGGCCTTGGATCTCAGAGATATGCCTGCCCCTGCTTCCTGAGTGCTGGGATCAAAGATGTGCACCACCATGTCTTTGCTTTTATTTTTATTTATTTTTGGTCTTTTTGAAGCTCACTACGTAGATCAGGCTGGCCTTGAACTATCAGTGATCTACCTGCCTCTGCCTCCCGAGTGCTGGATTAAAGGCGTGCACTACCAAGCCTTTAATGTCTTTGTTTTTTAAAAAAACAGGATAGAAGCTTGTTTCTGTCTCCATCAGAAACTCAGCAGGTGTCGATGGTGAGCCTCCACTTAGCAAAGACTTAGGCTTCTGTCTTTTTGCTTCACCATCTGAGGACCTTGCTTTCAACCTTATGGTGGAATATGGCTGCTAGAGCATCATTCATCTCGTTTACTTTGCAGGTACAGAAAAAAGGAAGGGAAGCCCATTGAGGGGAGGGAGTGGAGCATGCACTGAGAAGCTTCCTAACCAAGTTAGCAGCCTTTCAAGGAGCCCTTTTGAAAGTCCAAGACAATGGTTTCAACACTTCTGTTATGCCTTATTAGCCACAACATAGATGGTTTCTCTAGCTTCAACAGAGATTTAGATTATATATATATATGTATATATATATATATATATATATATATATATGATTATACTGTGATTTCCTTTGTTTTCTTTGGTGCTGGGGATTGAGCTCAAGGATTAAACTTGGACATGCTAGGTAAGCACTCTACTACTGAGCTACATCCCTAGTGAAATGCATAGATTGTAAGCATACATTTGATAGGTTCTGAAAATGCAAGCATCCATGTAACCCGTGCCCCTGCCCCTCTCAAGATAGAGCATTTCAACAACTCAAGAAGCTCCTGCTGGCAGTGGCTTTTTACTTAATTTTTGAGAAAGGGTTTTATGTAGCCCAGGTGTGTGCTATCGTACCCTGCTCTGGCAGTGAGGTTTTAAAAATCATTCCCAGGTTGAAGATATTAACTCAGTGGTACTTGCCTAGTGTGTGAAAAGCCCTGGGCTGAATCCTCAGGTCTGCAAAACAGTCCCAAAGAGAATGAGAGCTTAGAGTAGCCCTGGGAATGGAGACGCTGTGGAGAGAGCCCAGAGGAGGCTTGCTGATGAAAGAAGACTCAGGATGCTGACAGCTGGATGCCATCAGGAAGGAGATAGGCAAGGCAGGTCAGGCTGTGACAGATAGGGAGGGAGGAGTGTGTTGGGTGTGTGCAGTCTAAGGTGTGTTGGCCAAAGGCCCAGGTGGAGTTATGTCTAAAGCTTTTGAGGTCAGAGCTCAACAGCACCAAATGCCAAAAATGCTAAAGAGGACAATGGGCCAAAAGTGTGGTGTCCTGAATCCCATGACAGCCTTTGAGTAAGAATCCAGATGGAATTGCCTGAGCTGGCAATTAGTGAGGGTTTAAATTCTGGAGAGAGACTGGTAAGATCATCTGAAATAACTTCAAACCCCTTTGAAAAACGGAAGCCCTTACACAAACATAAGAGGGTTGTATGTGCCGCCATTGTGAAAAGGTTGTTGAAAGCAGTAAGGAGACGGCGGTGTTGGAGAAAAAGTTGAGCGACTCACTCATTCTTAACAGGAAAATAGCCCATTTTTCCTTCCAAGGGCAGAATGTATAACCTCCAGAGATCAGAGGTGAGTGAGTGGATAGAAGTGGAAGAGGCGCCCTCTCTGACACCGGCTGGAGTGAGCCAGGCCAGTCCCGCACTGCTAGCAGGAGCCAAGAAAGCAGAGAGCAAATGCGGCCCTGAGCTTAAATCCTGCCTGTCACCACTTAGCTTGATCTTGGCAAGTTACTTAAGCACCCTGTCCTTAGCTGTAAGTGGGAATTGTGCCTACCTTAGCTGGTGATTCGAGGATTAGAGACCAAGGCCCCCTTCGGTAGGCACTAGATGGGTGCTATTCTATGACCCGATCGCTCCTTAAGGGAAGGACCGGCTAACGGAAGGCCAGAATCTGCGACCTCCGACGGTAGGGAAGGCTCCCTGCAGCCTCCACCCTCCAGGAGGTGGGGACAGGGTGGAGGGAGGGCTGTAGGAGGAGCTCGCTCTTCGCGACCCGCCCCGTCCAGTCTGGCCCGGGTGCTGAAGGAACCGAGCCCTCGTCGCCTCCACCCACACAGCCCGTCCTGGTGCCGGGTGCTCTGCCCTGGTCCAGTCATGACTCTGCGCCTCCAACTCCTGCCGTGCCGGCTGCTGCTGCTGCTGCTCAGCGGGGCGGTGTGCCGGGCTCAGGCTGGGTTCGAAACCGAAAGTCCGGTCCGGACCCTCCAAGTGGAGACCCTGGTGAGGAGACTACGCGGCCCCCGCCCCTCGAGGCCAGAGGGTGTGGGGGAGCACAGGGTCTGAAAGAATCTGAACCGAGAGGAAGCGCAGGACGCGAGCGGGGATGGGTGGCGGGTTTAGAGCCGTGGACACGGTCTTTGGAGGCGCAGCCTTGACCCTTGTAGTCTAACCATAGGTGCAGCCCCCTGAGCCGTGTACGGAATCCGCTGCCTTTGGAGACACGCTCCACATACACTACACGGTGAGGGGCCGGGGGGGCGTGGCCTGGGAGGGGGCAGCGCCCCGCTGAAACACGTCAGCCTTGGCTTGGACACGTGGCAATCTCTGCCGGAGAACTCGGGTCTCTGGGGTCGTCAAGCACGTGGCAGGGGGAGGGGCGCCCCTCTCGCTTGCCTATTCCCCTCCCTGCTTTTCCGCCAGGTCTCCCCAGCCCTAAGAGAGCTCCTAGAAGTGCTAGCTCTGGGGCTTCCTGTTCCTGTCTACCCCGTGGTGGGGGTGGGGGAGGGGTAGTGGATGGGGATGCAAGGCTGCTGCAGCCTCCCAGTGGTCCAGGTGTGTGCTGCCCGTTTGCTGGGAGGGAAGGCGGGGTTAGTTCTTGCTCTTTCCCTTCAGGGCAGCTTGGTAGATGGACGGATTATTGATACTTCTCTGACCAGAGATCCTCTGGTTATAGAACTTGGCCAAAAGCAGGTGATTCCAGGTATGTGACCTGTGCCTTTGTCTACCTCTAAGAAAGGGAACCTTTCTGAGTGTTTTCAGTTTCTAAGCTGCTCCTGAAAGCCCTCCTAGAATGAGTAAGACCCTATGGATCTTCCAGCTTTTCTTCCTCCTATGTTCTAACTCCACTCCTAATATTCTTGCCCCATAGATCACCCGAGGCTGACTAGGAATTTGACAGGTGGGGGAGAGTGCGATTTGAGGAAGGCCAAGGGAGCCCTTGGTTTTCCTGAGTCACCCATGCAGGGAATATGGGTTAACTTCTAGTTCAGTTATGTCTTCTTCCTTAAGGTCTGGAGCAGAGCCTTCTAGACATGTGTGTGGGGTGAGTATCTGGGCAGGGGGAGGGGGCTTGAGTTTGCCTGGGTAGAGCTTTCTCTGCTTTCCCAGTTCTGTAAGAGTCAGGATATTGTGAGATAAAGGGCCTTGGCTTGATGCTGGAAAGGTACAGGCCAGTGGGACCTCTGAGAGCATCCAAAGCCTCTCTGGCTGTTGGTTTTGTTAGAGTTGAGGCATGTGGGGAGATGGGACACCTTTGTTGGTTATCCTGTTAGGTAGGAAAACTCATGATTTAGGCATGACTATCTGGGGTGGGAGGTGCTTCTGGTGGAGCTTCAGATGGACTGGGGCTGCTGGCTTACCTTCCCTGCTCTGCTGTGACACATTCCTTCCCTCAGAGAGAAGCGAAGGGCAGTCATTCCTTCTCACTTGGCCTATGGAAAACGAGGACATCCACCATCTATTCCAGGTAATCTGACTAGGCCTTTTCTCTTGGGCATCAAAATACAAAGTCCTTAAGAGCCACAAGTTCCACTCTTGTCTAGAGCTTGGGAAGGGCCAGGTCAGATGTGCTGAAGGGACAGAAGTAGCTGGGGCCTCTTCCTGCAGGGCCACTCTTTTTTGGGCCAGATCACAAATCATTACAATGCCTATAGACAACCTGCTAGGGACACCTGGCTTGGTCTCAGGCAGCTCATGTTCTTAGGGAACAGACACCTGCTTGAGCCACATGGAGCTGCCTGCTGCTTGTGCTATTTATCTCAGAGCAGCCAAGTAATTGAAAAAAAAATAAAAAGCAACCTTAAAAAGCCCTCATGTAGGGTCGGTGAGATGACAACCTAATGACTTCACTTCGATCCATAGAACACACAGAAAAATAGCAAGTTCCAGGCCAGCCAGGGCTACAGAGAAACCCTGTCAAACAACACCCCCTCCCCCACCCCCCTCTGACACACAAATAAAACTCAAACTATCAATTCTAGTGGGTAAAATGTGTTTTATTCCACAGAGCACCGGGAACATAATTCTTGTACTATTGCCAGCTTACAGGGAGCCCCAGAAAAAGGGTAGGAAGGACTAAGCAAAAACTCTGTTAGCAAGCTGGGCGTGGTGGTGCAGGCTTTAATCCCAGCACTTGGGAGCAGGGGAAGGCAGATCTCTGAGTTCTAGGCCAGCCAGAGACATAATGAGGCCCTATGTCAAAAAGCAAAAGCAAACCCTCTCAGCAAAACTCTCCCTATCCCCAGTGCTGCTGTTTGCTTCTGTTTACAACTTCTCTTTCCCTGTTCTGCCTGCTTCCTTTTTAAGCCACATCTTTCTTCTCCAGCTCTTATTTGAAAAGCATGCTAATAATCACACTGTATGTGCTCATTAGTTGGTGGAATTTTTTAAAATGTCTAGTTTAAGTCAATTTCAGCTCTACAAAGATTCTATGCATGTGGCTGTTTGGAAATGGGGTCCAGTTAATACAGAGGATTCTCATACAGATAAATACTCACTTGTAAATGTGGAAGGACTACTAGATGTTTCACATCTACAGGTTTTCTGTGCTGTCAAAGATCTGTCACTGAATCCAAGCCATATGTATAGTTGAGGTCAACATGACTTTCCTTAGACTGTTCCTAACCCTTCTCTGAGGGAATCCAACCCTACATTTCAAATTGCCGGCTTCACAGTTGGCTTTTTGTGGCCCACCCTCCATGTTTTAATTCAGAGACACAGCCCTGGATAAAATACAGAGATTCTAACCCTCCCTCCCCTCTGCCTCTCCAGCGGATGCAGTGGTGCAGTATGATGTGGAGCTGATTGCACTGATCCGAGCCAACTACTGGCAAAAGCTGGTGAAGGGCATTTTGCCTCTGGTAGGCATGGCTATGGTGCCAGGCCTCCTGGGCCTCATTGGGTATCACCTTTACAAAAAGGCTAGCAGACCCAAAGTCTCCAAAAAGAAGCTCAAAGAAGAAAAACGAAACAAGAGTAAAAAGAAATAATAAATAATAGTAATTCTTAACAAAACGTCTTTGCATTCTTCACCTGATACTACTTACCCCCCACACACACCTTTTTTTTTTTTTTTAGACAGGGTCTCACTATGTAGCCTTGGATGGCCTAGAACTCAAGAGATCTGCCTGCTTTTGCCTCACATGTGCAAGTATTAAATGTGTGAGCCACCATACCTAGCCCTTTTCTTTTTAAGACAGGGTCTTCGTGTGTAGTCCAGGCTGGTCTTAAATTTGCTATATAGCCAAGGTTGGCCTGGGATCATGATCCTCCTGCCTCAGCTTCCTGAATGCTGTTGCAGATGTGTACCACCATGCTCTGCTCACCTGATACTTTGGAGGCTGCTTTCATAAATAGGAATGAAAAATGGTGAGCATGGTTGATGCATGCCTCTAATCTCAGGACTCAGGAGGCAGAGGTAGATGGAGCTCTGTGAGATTGAAGCCAGCCTGGTCTGCATAGTGAGTTCCAAGCTAGCTGGGGCTACAGGAAGACCTTGTCTCAAACAAAATAAAACAAAACAAACAAATCTCAAAAAAACAAAACAAATAGAAATAAGGTGCAGAGAGAAAGAAGGGCATTCTAGAACTGGATCTTCCAGTTCTGAGATAGGGTGGTTGGAGGCCTTGGATCATCTCCTCTCCTGGCCTACTCTTGCTGTGCCCATTTAGCCCAAGGAACTGGTCTTGAATCTACTCACAGGACCTCTAGGTCTTTAAGGTGTTGGTTTTGCTCCCATGGTGCCATATTTCACCTCCTAGTAGCTGTCTAGGAATTTTCTTCTCTCCCTGGGGCTGCAGTGTTCCTAGTATCCTTGAAACAGACTGGTGTGTCCAATATGGAGAGGATAATAGGGTAACTCATAGAGGCTGGAGATGTGGCTCAGTTGGTGGAGTGCTTGATTAGCACTTAAGATGCCCTGGGATTGCTGGGCATGGTGGCTGCATGCCTCTAATCCCAGCACTCCTGAGGCAGAGGCAGGTGGATCTCTGTGAGTTCAAGGCCAGCCTGATCTACACAGTGAGTTCCAGGCTACCTGGGGCTACAGAGAGACCCTGTCTCAAAAAGACCAAAAACAAGAAAAAAGCCCTGGGATCCCCAGCACCAACAAAATCAGCATGGTGATATACACTACAATCCCAGCAGGGGGAGGCAGATCAGAAGTTCAAGGCTATCCTCTGCTAAATAAGGAATTTGAGGCCTGCCTAGACTACATGAAACCCTGGTTTGTGTGTGTGTGTGTGTGTGTGCGTGCATGTGTGTTTGTTTTAAAGGAACTTATAAACTACATGGAAGTTTTTCTTTTGTTTGAAAGAATGATTTATTGAGTATACTGCATGGGGGTATTGGGCTGGGCAGAGTACTGGGCACCGCCATGGAAGTCTTTAATAGCAACCCACTCAAGTGTTTCTGTTTGCTTTTTTAAGTTCTCTGGGGTTTGGAAAGAGGGTTCCTCTTTGGATCACAGGGTGTGGGAGATAACATGGGCTGCTTCAATGATGTTGTAAGTGGTTGGAGGTTGTATTTCACCAGACTGAGCTGCAGGTGTGGGCAAGGGCTGGGGCAAGTTGCTTCGATGGTTGACTATGAAGAGGGGATTGAGCTGGCTCAACCCTTCATCACTCACTGAGATACCATCTAAGTACCGCTTGAGCATCTCCTTCAGCGTCCCGCTGATACCTAACAGCTGGGCCCGTCTGTGTTGGAGACTCAGTACCTCCAGTTTCACTTTATTGTACCTTTTCCAGAAGTTCTCCATCCCTGTATAGTTCATCGTAACCTGTAAATTGAGTTAGAGGAAGGTAAGGTGGTAAGCACTGTGTCAAATGTACTCATTACTGCTGTCTGCCCCCAGTAGCAAAGGCTACCCAGCACCCGTCCTCCCCAGCCTGTACCTTGGCCATCTCGTCTGTGAGCTCTTCCAGGTTCTGTTTCTTTACCTCTTCCCGCTCCTTTGGAGTCAGTGCCGAGGAATAGAAAGGCAGCACTTTCTCTTCTTCTGTCTCAAATTTCCTGCATATTTCTGCAAGCTTAAGGATCTTTTCACCCTGTTGGGAGCATGAGACTTTTTAGGAAAGGAAGTAGAAGAGACAGTGGAGTTGGTTCCCCTGCTGGAGTCCAGGCATGCTTCTCTTCCAAGTGGGAGACAACAGTAATAAATGCGTTTGACACAGTACTTACCTAATGTGCCAAGTACTGTCCTAAGTGTTTTATAGTCTCATCATAAAACAAGATAATTATTCGTTTAAAGTGTAAAAGGAATAAAGTGAAAAAGACAACCCAGGTGTCCAGTCAGGATGCAGGAGACACTCCTGTCCCTCTCCTAGTCCCTTTCACCTCCAGCCAGGTCTTGTCTTTGTTTTGTTCTGACTGTCCTCTCCTCGATTACCTTATCCACAATCTTTCTCAGGCTCTTGAGGGTGGCATTACTTTCCAGGGTGAGTTTAACTAAGTTCTCCTGAGATAATACTCGAGCCTGCGTCCTTTGGGCCTTAAGTTTTTGAAGTTGTACACGGACCAGCTCCTTGTCACTGCGGATACTCTGGTTCTGCTCTTCACTGTCATGGCTGTGTGCTGAGATCTTTCCTTTCAAAGCAGTTATGGCCTCCTGGAAGGACAGAGTGGAAGGTTTAAAGTGAGACAGGTGAAAGGCAGACTGGTAACTAGGATCAGGGTTTGTCATCTTGTCCCACTCACTGAGAGACCCAAGAGCATATGGGGAAAGAGGAACAGGAAAATGGAGCACTTCAAACAGTGTTTCTGGTTGGGTGCACTGACCTGCAGTTTCTGTGTTCTCTTCATCTGCATTTGAATCTCTTTGGCGCTTTTCTCATCCTTTACCCTGAGGGTCTCAAACGCAATCTTCCGATCCTCTGTGGCGTCTGTATAGTTCTTGAGTGCATCCTGGAATCTTCTCCACAGATCTTCCACTATGTTCTCTAGTCTCAGTCGTAAAAAATGCTTCTCTTCTAAATTCTAGGAAATATACCCCAAATACCAAATGCTTAGAATTCCCCTAGTACGTCCTTTGCACTCCCACCAACCTTACCCCCATGATTATTTAGTGAAGAAACGCATGCCTCTGAAGCCCAGGCAGAGAACATGAATAAGGGTTGTTTGCAGAGTTCAGTCCACAGTGAACTAGAGAAAAGCAAGAGGGTGGTGGGTCAGGTCCATGTGAGTGTTGTCACTTGGAAATAGAAACATAGCACAAAATCTTTTAACTTTTTCAAGGGAAGCTGAATTTTGCATCTTCTTATGAAATCTCTTTGATTTTTTGATATAGGAAATTATTCAAATTATAAAACACTGGCTAGACTCAAACTAGGGCTGGAGATGTAGCTCAGTGGTAGGTAGGGTGTTTGCCTAGCATCCAATAAAGTTGGGTGCAGTGGTACATAGCTGGTATCACCCTCAGGAGGAGGAGGCCAAAGGACCAGAAGCTCAAGATCATACTCTACTATGTAGTGAGTTTAAGATCACTCTGGGCTAAGTGAGATGCTGTCTATCTCAAAATTAAATAATTAAGGGTCTGGAGAGATGTTTCGCAGATCAGAGCACTGGCTGCTCTTGTAAAGGACCTGGGTTCAGTTCACAGCACCCACATGGCAGTTGTAACTACAGTTCCAGGGATCTGAAGCCCTCTTCTGGCCTCTCTCAGTACCAGGCACACATGTGGTGCACACACATACAGGCAAACACTTATAAAATAAAAAACAAAATTTTTAAAAATTTAAACAAGTAAATAAATTACTGAATTTAATTAAATCAAGTAAAAACAGGAACCCCATACCCAAAGCTCTGCGTGCAGACCAGATTTGTAACCTGTAAGATGGTGGAAAGAATTAAGGACCAAGGGGCAGTAGACCTAGATTCTGGCTCTATCACAAACTGGCAGCATGACTTGGACAGGTCATTTTACTTTTGGGTCTTCATTTCTTCATCCAAAAATCACAGGGGTGATGCCAAATGATGTCTTTGGTGTTTTTTAGCTTCAAGATACATTCCCTTGGCATTTTAGAACAATCCTGCCTCCAAATCAGTTTAGACTCACTGAGTCAATTACAGGGTTCTCTTCTAGCTCGTTTCTGCAAGCAGTTTTTCTGGGTCTCTCCAGATCCCGTCCCTTTGTTTTTTTGTACCTTGTTTTTCAGATCATCCCACATGCTTTGGAACTCCAGATTGCTTTCATACTCAGAATCTATGTAGTTCTGTTCCATGGCCATGCAGATATCTTGTAGATAGTGAATCTCTTTGTCATGTTGGTCAATGATTGTCTTCCTGAAGGAGACAAGATGAACCAATAACACGTGAACCAATGATAACAAAGTGATATGTAAAAACTATGAATGGTACTGACAGGGAACAGAGAGGAAGGGAGAGTTGTGTTTTTT